GTTTTCTGACGAGAAAGGCGGGGGGGGGGGGGGGAAGAGCTGTCTTTTTAGTTGAGCAGTTTGGCTCGGTCATTTGAAAAGTAGCTTGCTAGGCTGAAAAGTGTGGGCACCCCTGATTTAAATGCATACAGCAGTGTAACAAGAGTCAAGACTCTTTACTGTCATTATGTATAGCACAACAGAATTAAGCTCAACATACAGGTATATAAAATACAAGCCACTTCGCTTTTTCTGGTTCTTTTCCTCTTCACAATCTGCTGGATCCCACTCCACATAATCAACTGCTTCCTGCTGCTCTGTCCATGCTGTCCTGTGCCGCTAGAGCTGCTCCTCACCACCATCATCCTGTCACATGTAAACTCTGCTGTCAACCCTTTCCTGTATGCATACGCAATGAGGGCTTTTAGGGACACCTTTAAAGCAATTTTTTTGAGCTGCAGAACAGCGAGAGAGGGGGTTGGTGGTGATGATAGAGAGGGTACATCTGTCCAAAATGCACATCACACATCATAATATTTACAAGATACGAACATACTCCTTCAAGCTGCTTCTCTCACCTGAAGGTGCCCCCTCCGGCAGATGCTCAGTTGGGGTGCTGGAAGCACTTGGCAGAGGTTCAGCTTTGGCTTTTTTCAGGGTTTGGATGGGAGCCTCCTTGGGGTACATCCTGTGCTGTCGCTTAAACTTGAATTTTTTCAGAAAAGGCACCTCACTGAATTCCTGAAACGACAAACCAAGAGAATTTATTAGAAGTTATTAAATATAACTGGAATATTTTCCTAATTTTGTATGGATATTATCCTTTTATCAAACCCCCTCCATAGGCCAATCTGTCCATATTATCAGCAACATCTCTCACTAAAAGGACAGTCCCTTCCTGAATGCTGCTCACTGGCTACAACTAGTGCTAAGAGCAAGTAAAAAGGTCTCTAAAAAGAACCAAAGATAGTCCTGAAACGAGCTGACCTACTTTGGGGGTGACCCAGTCGTTGCGTGCAGGTTTTGTGGTTTTGAACACACACTTTGTCCAGGCTGAGATGTCCCCAGTACAGTAATAAGCATCACCCTTGAACACCAGCTGGCCATAGCACTCTTTACAGGGCTGAAGTGCACCGAAGGCCATGCCGTCAGCCAGGCAGTCCACTACCTGCTCATTAAACAACATTTGTCATGAAACAGAATAACTTCAACAGGAGTAACAGAGACTTCAATATGCTGCGCTAAAAAAAACAACAAAACTGTATTTTAAACACTGATGAAAAACACAGATAAAGTCATGAGGAATAAATACAAATTAAGCTTGATACTACATTTTTCCACATATTGTGAAACAGTACTGCACACATTAAATTAGCACAGCTTCAGAAGACACATAACATTTGCAGCTTTAATATGAATATATAGCGATTTTATAAAATTCAATGTGTGAATACAGTTGTTTTTCCAATGAGTTTGTCTCAATCTAAATTATTTAGAACACAGTGAATGTTAGGATGCAAAGAAATTAAACTGAGATAAGTGTCTCTTACGTTGGACTCTCCAGAGGGAACCTCCTGGTTGTTTGCAATCAGCAGCTCCGCCATGTCGTTGATTGAACAGTACTTCCTCAGCTTGTCCTTGAGTCCCCAAATCAGCTGACTTTGATTCTGGCGAATGCACAAACGAGGAGTGGTGTATTAAGAACATGATCACCAAACATTTTAACATAATGTGTACTCAAAAATATAAAACAAAAAGAATATATAGAACCTTCAACTGTTCTTCCAGCTTCTTTTTCTCTTCTTCTTCCCCCTTCTTCTGCTTCTTGGATACTCCATCCACCTCTTCAGATTTCCGTTTTCTGCCAGAGCAAACAGTCAAGATAGTTGTCTTCCAATTTTTTTTTTTTTTTTTTTAAATAATGCAGGATGGGCTAAAAAGAAGGTGAAAAAAACATCCAAATGAACATCCTAAATGAGGCCAAAAGGGAGACCAATAGTCAAGAACAGGAACAAACAAGGCTGAATCTGACACCTTTATTCATTAGGCTAATTCATTAGGGCCCCATTGGCTAAGGGACCCACACAGACAGGCTGGTACATGTCCCCACAATCCCAGGTGTTGATGCTGATATCACCCACTTTGCACCGAAGAGAAATTTATTTACTCCCCATGAGACCAGACACACACCGGGAGATGCATTTTAGTTAATGACCATCAGCCATCAGTCAGTCGCTATCTGATCCTTTGGATAAACATCCCTTATCAGACACCAAGTGACATCAAGAGGGACGAAGGGAGTTCTATAAAATAGTGTTTTCCAGTCTTGCTCCAACAGAAGTGTGCATGTGATCTTTAATGTGAGGTCAGGCGCGTTAACTCAGGATGGCTGCTGTCAGAGGACACACGATGAAGTGGCTGGTTTCTTAAACAGGGCTGTACAATTGTAGACTGGTGAGTAATTTTACTGCTTTGATGCATCTCATCCCCACACTGAGCAATAACTTGAATCTTACTTATCCCTTTAGGAAAACTATGGGAAACATGAGTGCACTGCTGACCCTCTACACTAGCCAACAAACTAGAAACTCATCCCAGCTGTCGTCCCCTCTCCTACAACACTTCCACAACTCCTCAACTCCTTCCTTCTTCAATGTCACCTCCTCCTCACCTTCTTCTTCACCCCCGCCTGCTGACTTGGTGATTTCCCCGAACATGGTGTACATGGTGGCGGAGCTTGTCATCGCCTTTCTTTCCACATTCGGTAATTTACTGGTCTGTGCCGCTGTGGCTCTCAACCGCAACCTTCAAACCGTCACCAATTACTTCCTGGTCTCACTTGCAGTTGCTGACATCTGTGTGGGTGCAATTGCCATTCCTTGCGCCATCTTGACTGATATCGGTTTACCACGTCACAATCTCTACCTGTGCCTGCTCATGCTGAGTGTTCTGATAATGCTCACCCAGAGCTCCATCTTCAGCCTGCTGGCAGTGGCTGTGGAGCGCTATGTGGCCATCTTCATGCCCTTCCGCTACCAGGTCCTGGTGACTTCTCACAATGCGGTACTGGTGATCCTCGCCACATGGCTGCTGGCTTTTGTCATCGGGCTTGTGCCTCTTATGGGCTGGCATAAGACCCCGCCTGAGTCAGGGTACTGTTTCTTTGTCCTGGTGGTGGACATGACCTACATGGTCTATTTCAACTTCTTTGCTTGCGTGCTGACACCCCTAGTGATCATGTTTCTCATCTATGCCCAAATCTTCATCATGGTCAGGCGACATGTGAGACGCACTGTATCTGAGAAAAGTGGCAGAGGCGAGGGACAAGTGAGGGCAGCAGCCAGTATGCGGCGGGAAATGAAAACAGCCACTTCGCTTTTTCTGGTTCTTTTCCTCTTCACCATCTGCTGATAATCAACTGCTTCCTGCTGCTCTGTCCACGCTGTCCTGTGCCGCTAGAGCTGCTGCTCACCGCCATCATCCTGTCACATGCAAACTCTGCTGTCAACCCTTTCCTGTATGCATACACAATGAGGGCTTTTAGGGACACCTTTAAAGCAATTTTTTTGAGCTGCAGAACAGTGAGAGACGGGGTTGGTGGTGATGATGATAGAGAGGGTACAACTGTCCAAAATGCACATCACACCTGACCAGGCTTGTGATCCTACAAACCGAACACTATAAATACTGAATGTGAAAACATGGCCACGCTTCTTAATCTTAAAAGTATTCAACCTGCACAACAGAATAATGATCTATTCTTCATTGTCGCACCCTTCAGATTTGACAGTAGGAAGACTCTTCTTGAGTTCCTCCTTGTCTTCAGCTCGTAGTGCATCGAAACCTTTCAGCTGGGCAGCGCTGTACTCAGGTTTGAAGTCCAGCTCCTCTCGGCAGCTCACGAAACACGCTGTGTGGTACCAGCGGTCGATCAGACCCAGCTGGGGCTTCTCAGGGTCCACAGATTTCTTAGACACACGAATCAGATCCTGAAGGTCAAAGAATCAGTTTTTAGCAAAGTAGTTCTATATGATACAAATTACAACACACACTATCTAATACTCATATCGTAAAGATTACACTGATACTGTTTATATTAGTTATTGCTTTACAAACATGGCGGCTAACCTTTTCTATTTTCCGCTCACAGCCTTTGCATGTGCTGCGGTTCGACTTGGCATATTCCACCGCAAAGTGGTTCAGTGTCTTCTCCCCCTTAGCACTACTCTTCTGGTCAGCTTTTCCTATGAGAAGGAAGTAATCACAGTTAATTGTAATGAAAAACTATATATGTGAAAAATTCTGAGGATAAACAATATTCACAAGAACAAACGAGCCAACAAAAGGTTCACTTTAAAACGTGAGAGGCAGTACATACATAGGTAAGTCACAGCACTACGTTGCAGTCACTTGGAAGCTCATTTATATCAAGCCTCTGTTAAGACAATCAACCAAAGATCCAGCAATGTTGAAATTCAAAACTTAAGTTTGATTTTTACTGATAAAAGCAAATAAGATGTTCATACCTCAGCTGACAGCAATTTATTTCAGATATCTTAGTTATTTTTAGTGTCAGGAGAATTTATTCACAGCTAGTTGCTGCTCTGTGCAGATGTCTGTCTCTACACCTGTCTAATGATCTGTTTCCACTATCAGAACCTAACGAGCAGTATACACTGTACTTCCTTTAACCATCACCAAACATAGCCTTCGGGGCTCATGTGGACCGTCCTGCTTTGTTTTTCCACTGTATTTTCTCTCTGTTGGTCTATGTTTAGATGAGGAAAGGGCTGCTCCCCTCTCACAAACACAGTCAGCTGTGTGTTTATACACGATGCTTGTAATACTTAAGGTAATGCTTAAGGTATGACGATGCGGACATTTAACCAATCACTGGTGACTGCTTGGCGAGAATGCAGCCCCTCCCCCTATGTTCCTGGTATTTGATTTTAGTACTACCTCCTGAGGGGTGCTGAAATTTAGCTCCCAGAATGCACCGCCAAAGCGGGCCGAGTGTATGGGAAACAAACTCCGAACCCATGATGTGTTACTCGGCACGACACAATTTGGTAGGTTCCTATAATGGAAAAACTGCTTTAATAGGAAATGTTTACCTGGTCGCATAACAAGTGCTCACAGTGCCTTTAAGGACTGTAAAATGTTATAAACTATGTTCGCCCATCAAGAGGCATTTAAAAGATGAAGTCAGCTGCTTGACTGAGGCCTGAGGTGACAATAAATTAAATAATTTGCTTGATCAGCTCTGAATAGGAATACTGGGGCAGTAAGGTGTCTGCCTAAAGTTTAGTACTGACCTCCTGTAGCTCCACCCCTTTCAATGGCCTTCTTGATCTTCTCCTGGTCCGCCCAGCGGAGGTCAGAAAAACCAGCAATGTCAGCAGTGGACTGAGCTGCTGCTCGCAGCCAGAAGCAAGAGAGGTGGTGCCAGTGGGGGACCTTGCCATCAAATACGGGAGACTAGAGGACACAGAACAAACAGGAAAGGTTTAATACATTATGCTAACAGCATCTTTTACTTTTGGTTATAAAACGAACAGAATAAGGCAATAAATCACACACAGAACTTCAAAAATGCCAAGACTGACACAATAATGGGGAAAATGTATTTTCATTGTGAATCTGCACAGACATAGCACTTGAGAGAAATCAAGAACAAGAATATTACTCCCACAATTAATTCCACAATGGAGAAAAATCCTGCATATCAACAGCATTAGAGACTAAACAACAGACAAGCATTTCAGAGAAATGAGGAACAAGACCCACTGACAGAGCAGTCTGTGGTCACAGCGGGGTGGGGTGGTGGGTGGTGGGTGGGTATGCATTCCTGGCATTTGCATACAGTAGGTCTAGCGTTTTATTGTCCCTTGTGTGGCAATTAACACACTGGGTGAAGTTTGGGTGGGAGGCCTAAATCATCATTAAATCGCTTCAAATCACATATCTAAAAAGAATGTTAGAATTTGTATGTTTGAATTATATACGAAATGAAACATGCTCATTAATTAAAATGTTATAAACGATCATGCAGCTGTCCAGTGCTTCTACTGGTTGGTTTAGTCTGACTGGCCTCTGGAGTGGATGGAAAATGTGGAGCTGCTCCACAGATCATTAGTAAGACGGGTTATTAGCCTCTTAGTTAATTAATTCTCCGCAGGGGAGGAGCTGACTTTAGATTTTAGCTGTGATGATGTTGAGATTCTGCCTTTTAAGCTCGATGCTCGGTCTGGCCAGCTGTTAGCTTTAGACTTAACCTCGAGATGCACCACAAATGTATTAGTAAACCTCACTGTGAGTAACGTTAACAAGACGCATCACTGAGAGAATCCGGAATCAAGAAAGGCTCTTTGTGAACAATGCCAACCATTTAAATGCTAACGAGGGCCTAACTTACTGAACTGAAACCACACCATAAACTATATAATCGCATCCTCCAATTAGTTGATAAATACTCAGTTTATACGCAGAGTGAACCACCTAATGTACAAAATAGGGCTCTGGTAGTAACGTTAACGTAAAGCTAGCTAACAGAGCTCCGTTACCTGCACCATGATGGCCATTCTCAGCGTCCCTTCACCTATGTGTGCTTTGCATTTCTTGCATGAAGAGCGGCCACTTTTGGCGTATTCCGCCCTGTACAGCTTGTCCTCTTGAGAATCTGCCATGACCGTCTAATATTAAACCAAACTCAAATGAACTGACTGTGAGGCGAACTTTCTCCAGGTAAGGAGCAACAACAATCTATGGACAAGCAGAGCGAAGCACGTGTGCCTACACAGCGCAGCAGAGAGGACATAGACGAAGAGCTCTCATTCTGGCGTTGTTTCGCGACACCACAAACCATCAGCACCTCTCTAAATACAAGGTTAGCGCGAAACATTCACAATTTGGCTATGTAAACTGCTGATGTGCTCTACATCTTTGAATGTGATTATTTTAGACCACAAATATCAAATTTGAATAAAATATTATAAAGGGAATCAAAATTTATATCCCCTACGGATTTATTGTTTTACTGTGGAGAATGCATAGTTAGGGAGACAAAATTTACACAAAATATAACAGAACGATTAAATTCATTGGTTTAATTTTATACTTTTTTTCAAGCTGATTTGCTATGTCAGGGCCAATCCAGATCAATAGATTTTTTTTATTTTATTTATTTATTTTGCAGCAGTTATGCTCGTCTTCTAATTACGAAGCCAGAGTGAGCTTTTTGTTATAATAGACGATCGGCCATACAAAACCCGCGTAGGTGGCAGCCTCAACTAATCGAGTCAAGAGAACTCATCCAGACTCTCTCGCTGCGTCCGAAACTGCATACTGTGACAGTACGTACTGAAAGAGATGAACTACCTACTTACTGACCGTTAAAACAGTAGGTACTGTATAGTATGAAGCCTGGTAGTATGAATGAGATTCGGACGTACTACATCCGCCATATTGATACATTACGTGACATACGTTATCATAGCAGCGCGAAAATTTAAAGAGCCCACGTCGTGTTCTTCGTTGGATAACTCCTCTCCCGGAGTATCATGGGATAGTGAAGTGTCCATCGTATGCACACTGCAAAATCCAACCGGAAGCAGTAGGTCATCCGGGTACTTTTCGCCTACTGTTTTTGGAATACTACGAATCTGGACATACTACTCGCCTCGCCTACTGCTTTTCGCCTACTATACAGTATGGTAGTAGGCGGTTTCGGACGCAGCCTCTATCTTTCTAAGCAAAGATCAGTGCTCTGCTTCAGAACTAAAGCAATTTGACCAGGGGTGAGTTCTCATATGTCGATTAAGCACAGTCAGATGACAGAAAAGCTGAGGACACAATCATGGAGGAAACGGGAACAAAGGTTCTATTAACCCTGGGTCCTACAACCAGTGTGCAGCTAATTTAGTTATGGCAAAGTATGAAACAACAACAAAGCTGTAAATAAGTAGAAGCCATATGGCTGGATTGTGTCCTTCTTTACTTGGAGTCTTCTGAGCTTAACAGTCCCCTCAGCAATGAAGGATGCAGGGAGTCAGACAGAAACCCCCCCTGGTCTTTCTCATTTTCTCCTTGAGTTTGGCCAGGATTAGACAAAACATTACTTTTGCCAGAATCATGCGTCCTGCTGCCCCCCACCCCCCTGAGCGGCCATCTGTTCCAACACTGATCCTCTGACTGCACATGGTGCTGATGAAATAGGTGCGGACTTTCCCCTGGAGCTCACTGACCTGCAATGACAGTAGTGGTCACAAAATGCATTAATGTCTTCTCAGTGACCTTTATGATATATTGTCCTGCAAAATGCTCAGGTTTAGCTTATATTAAACTTTGGAGAAAGATAATTTCCATTTGCAGACACAAAAAATACAAGATTCCTTTTGACTCTGCTGTCACCAACTGGTAGAAAAGAAGACTTGCTGCAAAAGCCTCATTTATTAAACTATACCGTTTACAGATTATATTTTTTCCTATTTGCTCTACCATAGCCTCTATTATAGACATAATAAATTGTTTTTTGAAAAAGTCCAGTATAAGTAGGTGGTGATGGGATTTCTCTCAAAGCAGTAGAAAGCAACACATGAACACTGCTTTGGATACAGCATGACTGTCTTATCTTTATCTCATCTCATTTCAATGAGCATTCCTCTGTCTGTCTGCATTGTTTACTGCCTGTTTATACTGCTTATTTTGCATTGTTTGTACTGTTTGGGGTAGGGTAGGGTAAGACTTTATTGATCCAACAATGGGGACATTCCAGTATTCCAGCAGCAATAGAGAGCAAACAACAAAACACAACAATAACAGCAAACACCATAAGGACCTCCGAGAAGCAAAGATACCTAAGAAATAAGACAAAATATAGCACTTATGAGAAATCAAGAACAAGAATATTACTCCCACAATTAATGGGAAGTGTATGCATTCCTGGCATTTGCATACAGTAGGTCCAGAGTTTTATTGTCCCTTGTGTTTCAATTAACATACTGGGTGAAAGTTTGGGGGGGTGACAGAGAGGGGCTTACATCACACAAATTTACATACTACAATCGGTGTTTTGCTCACTTCATAACCATGTTGTTACTTTTCTACACGAATGATACTCAAAGTAATTCAGCTTAGCTACATTGAGGTGAGTTCCTACTTAGCATACAGTACATGCTCATATGGTAACTTATTAGCTACAGGTTTTCTAAAATACATGACATTCACAATGATATTAAAGTATTTATTTAGTGAAACATATTACTTGCCAAATATATTTGCCTGGTATTTTATATTTCCAGTATTTTTCAGCTAAATAAAATGTAAAGACTGTCTGGGATACACCTTTTCAAATATTACTACAACTATTGTCCAGTGGTGGGCTGTCACATGCAGCTAGCTCGGAACAGCCGGTAGTCTGAGGAGTAATAGCTAACGCCGGGTTTAAGTTAATGTATTGTAAACCTGAACCGTAGTCAGGGTGTTAAACGCTAACTGCCCGCATGCTACACAGGGTTTCAATTTTGCTCACTTCATGGTAAGAGATGGGCGCTGACACTGGTAAATATAGGCGCATCCGGAGCCTTGTCGTTATAGCTACTGTTAGCACAGTCACCTAGCGATAACAGCATCCTCGAATTCCATCTTAACGCTAATACAGTATCTGCATTTGAATATTATGAATTAGCCTGGTAATATTTGGCAAGCGTGAGTTTATCTCTAAACCTCATTGCAATCAGGGAAAAGTAGAGAAGGGTTTAGCATGAGAAAAACGAGTAAAATGAATACCTGTGACAGGTAGCATTGCTAAATTGTACGCATTGTTGAATTAAGTTAGCGTTAGTGGCAGCTGTTAATTTTAGTTTCTATTTGTATATGATTAGATATGGCTACATTTCAATATTTCTTGTCACTGGTCGGGCAAATGTTAACACCTGGTATTTTGATCGGTTGAAACATCTTCACATATTAGCTACTTATCAACAATGTTTATTAGCGCATCGGCTAATTTCAACATACTAACTTCCACAGGCCGAAGAATATCCAGCGGCTTTCCTGATTTTCGTAGCACCGGTGGAGACTCAGTGCTGGGCTAAAGTGCCGCCCATCTCCTTGCCACTGTGAACCTGTCAAACAACGCCACCTTGTGATTAGCATCTAGCATGACAGGTGAGAAACACGCAACTATTATACACCTGCTAAATCTCAGCATGTAGACATAACAGCCCCTCAGCAGCTGAATGTAGGGCAGCACAGGAAAAAGTGCTCTGCTGAGGGCGTTAGAAAGCCTCTATGAGCTGCCTAACCTACATTCACAGTGCTAATTGTGAAACGGTTTGTGAGGGAAGCATTGCATCAGTATTCCAGGTGTGTGTGAGGCATCAGTATTCCAGGTGTGTGTGTGAGGCATCTGTTCCCACAGAAATCGTACACCAGACATTTTGCCTGCATGTGTTGGCATCTGCTGAAGGTTACATTCCTTGAACCTCAAGCCCACTGGTTGAGTCGCTGTTCTACTGTTCCCC